GTTGAAGACTCCCATTACTCAGAAATTGAAGATTACCAATTCAAAAAGCATTCAAAAGGAGGAGGAAATAATAACAAGAAGGTTTTAGCAGAAAATTTGTCATTACTTTGTAGGTTAGTTTAGTTTTTACTTTCCAGTTTTTTTAGCCTGTGTACTAGTAATTTTGGATATCTGGTGAGGTAGCTTCTGATTTTACTGTATTAGGTAGAATATCTTTTTTTATTGTTTGATTTGTTTGCACAAATATAAATCCTGATTATGTCTTGATGAAGTGTTTGTGTTAGTGTATTACTTCTGTTTTTTGAGTTGGGTGTGGTTGGGATTTCTGTCTACTACCATCAACCCTAAAAGGAGAAAAGGCAGATGTTGTCTTACATTATAAAACCTGAAGGTTGGATTAGATAAACTATAGTTTAAAGTTTTAATGGTTCCACTTTTAGTGTGTGAACTTTTCATTGTCTCTTTGTCTCCACTTCTATCTTTATTATTAAAAATAAAAATAGAATTAAAAATAAAATAAAAAATATTCTAAATGACATTTTTTATATAGGATTCATTTGCAGCCTGTGAAAAGAACATAAAATTTACAATGGTGAGAAAAATCATGGATGATGAGATAGGAAATAATAAAACAAAACAATAAGAAATAAGAAAACTAATGAGAAATAATAGTGAGGAATGAAAGGAAAAGAAAGTAAAGAAAAGAATTAAAAAAATAAAAGGGATGAAAATGAAAATGAAATAGGGTGAAAAAACAGATATAATGAAAAAACAGAATGAAAAGAATGTATTGAAAGAAATGGAGTTGAAAGAAATAGAGTGAAAAGAACAAAGCAAAAAGATCAGAGCAAAAGAAATGGAATGAAGGAAATGGAGCAAAAAGAAACAGTAGAAGAATGAAAGAAATGATAAAGGAAATGGGGCAAAAAGGAACAGTGGAAGAACGAAGAAAATGGAGCAAAGATGAAATGACAAACACATAAAAAAAAGGATAAAGTAAAGTAAGTTAGTAAAAACAAAATATAAAGAACAAAAGAAGAAACCAAAAGCAAAATAAAAAAAATATACCTTTGATTGTAAAACTGGGAGAAATGAAAAGAGCATAGGAAAGGAATGAAATGGGTGAAAGAAAGAAATAAAAGAAATAGGGCAAAGAGATGGAGTGAAAAAAAATGAAATCGCAAACATAAAGAAAAGAATAAAAAAAAGTTAGTAAAAACAAAATATAAAGAACACCTTTAATCGTGAAACTGGACTAGATCGATTTTCAGAGTCATTTAGCCATTCCTAAAAAAAGAAGAACAAAAAACAAATGAAAAGGAAATGAAATGCCACCTACCTTGCAACATTAAAGTCCAAGTGAATGTTCAAAGTGGCAAAGCCACTCCTAAAAAAAAATAAATAAAAATTGCATGAAATAAGCCAATTTACCTTTTAGTATTAGAAAAGTCTTTTGAACTATCATATGCTAACAAAGACTCAAACTTAGCAGTATTTTGAATCATTTCTTCCATATTATTACAGCTAAAGGGTAGTATTGTTGTGTATTTTATTTAATAAGGAAACAATTCAGTATTACAAGATATTAAATGTAAAATGAAAATGAAAGTGTCAGAGAAAAAATTTTTTCTTCATCAAGAAAGTATAAACTCTTAAGGTTAAATAGTATATTACATAATATGGTGACATGTGATATATTTATTTATAAGACGTGATATTTACATGCTATTGTATGACAAAGTGTGATATTTGTAATTTTGGTAAATAAAGTACGCGTTAATGAACAGGGTGGACATACCTTATATCACATGTTGATCATTTGCCGATACTAATAAATGTGATATCACATTAACTTTGAAACCTTATGGTAAAAAACTCTTTCTCTGAATACATTTTTTACGAAAATTTCTGCGTAATAATTTTTTATAAAAAAATAATCCCCTTTATTAAACTTTATTACATAAATATATAAAAAAAAATGTCTATGGATAAGAGCCGAACAACAAACGAAGAAGCTTTAGACTTCGTTTCTAAGTTTAACAAAATTTATTTTCAAACTTTTACACACCACTTAAGTTCTTTTGTACAGGACGGTTTCCTCAAGGACTTATTTGAAAAAAACCCCTCAGTACCTAAGGATAAAGCCCAGTTACTGATACAGAAGTTTGGCAAAACAGCCAACCCCTGCGAACTTCACTTCACAAGCTCAAGCTACAAATATACAACCCACCACTCTTTCGCTAATATTTTCTATAGCGCTATATGCTGCGTCCAGGTCTTGGGATAATTTTTCACACCAATTCCTTTGCAATTTTGGAGATATGGGTGATGAAGATGATGACGAAGATGATGATTCTCAGAACACTGAAGATTATCTGATAGATGCATCACATCTGCCGCTTGATGAAGATGATCTTTTAAGCCAAGGATTCAAAAAACCACCAGATCCAGTACCTATCAAGCTTCCATCAATGCCTGATATAGTAATGACCCCTGTTGATCAGACTGTAATCCCCAAAAACTCCCGGAAAAAAGATAAACAAAAGGCGCGTGTTACAGATGATAAACAAGTCGCGAACCAATAAACAAAGGCAAAACCTGATGTGAAAACATCAGCCAAAAATTCCCAAAAGGGAAAGAAATCATCCGAACTGGAGGCTACGCAGATACTGACAGGATACGAAGCTGTCGGAGAGGAGCAAGAGCGAATCAGAGAAATAATAGTTTACGATATCCAATATACCTGGAACCTGCAGAAAATAATAGCAGAGTTAAAATTTTGGGGAACGCTATTAAATGTTCCGTTAAACGGCAACATAAGTATCAGACTCTTCAAGTCAAAATAGCTCTTTCCTCATTTGCTTTTCCCCAGTTTAACAAATATTGGACGACAGACCTGGGAGGTATACCCGTTAAATGGTTCCCTGCAAGTTGGACTTTACAAGAAAGAAAGCAACGTGAAAAGTTCCAAGCCGTTATTCATGACATTACGGAGGATATGACGATGGCTACCTTGTGGATGGACCATAAACCATGTGAATTTTTAATGAAGTGCGGTGCTAGATCATTTAAAATTATTCAAACAAGCAAAGGAAGGAGGAAACTTGTGGCCTATTTCGAGAATTGGGAGACCACACTAAGGGCCTTAGATACGCCACAGTTTTTTGTACCTGATGGTAAGGAGTTGAAATGGTGTCGACACTCCATTCCTACCTTGAAGAAAGCACAAAACAAACCGAAGGCTAAAAATACACTGAATCCGAAAAAATCAGGTAAGTCTGATAAGAATTTGGAAAGTAATCAGCCTAAGAAGAAGGATAAACCTTCATCCTCGAAAGAATTCTCTAAAAACAATAACCAGAAGAAGAAACACCTGAATACTCAGAAGAAGGCAAAGAATTCCTCGAAGAAAAAGGGTAACAATAAAGATAACAAGGCGGTTTTAGCAGAAATTTTAACTTTATTACAGAAACTAGTTTAGCTTATGCTTTTATTAGCGGTTTTACGAATTTCAGAATTGTATTGTTTTTAGGATAGAAAATATTTATGTGTTCGCACCACAAATTTCTTGGAAAGGGGACTTGTCCTCTCCACTTTTTTTTTATTTTTCCCCAGTGTGTCTGCCTGGACTTTTATTGGACGGGGTAGTGGTTCAGGTCTTTTTTCTCAAGAAGTTCGGGTCTGTATTCAGCTCCTCTGTTTGTCGATGGTAGACTTAGTTAGGTGGTACTATATTCTAGTCATGCCTTTGTATAATCTCTCCCTGCTTCACATAAAATAAATAAAATAAACTTTGAAACCTTATCTCAAGCTATAAATGTTTTAAGAATAATATTTAATTGTTTTATATATATATGCTGATCATCTGCTAATTTGACTTTGAAGCTTCGGGCCAAGCCACAGAACTTCAGGCCAAACTTGAAACTTTCACAGTATGCTATTTAGGTATTCAAGAATTAGTGACTAAAATAAACCTAAATAATTTTTGATAACCCGAAAGTTATCATTAAATAAATGTTTACAATTATTGTAAAATTAATATATGTCTGATATTTGACAAAATCTTTATGAATCATTTTAAGAACTAATTTATTAACAATAAATAAAATAAAGTAAATAAAATCGAAATTTTATACATTATTATGTAGAATTTGTGAAAAAATTAATTCAACAGTATTTTTTATGTGATAATATTGGACAAGTGATCGGCAAAATGATCGGCAATATCATGATAATATGGAGATGTCCGCCTTGTTGCGTTAATGATACATTTTTATTGGTGGTTGACAACGGCATCATCAATATCTTTTGGATCTGTCAATAAATGAGGATGAGTTGGATGGTAAATAAAAACTCTATCCAAAGTGATACGACGACATGTATGAGAGAGGGCTGAATTTATAAAAGAAGAAATATCAGTTTCAAGGTTATTATTCCTATTATCCAAATGTGCATGAATGGAGTTATCTTAAGAAGACTTTGCGTCAACCTGGTAGAATATCTGTCAGGTCACCTGTTTAGTCACCTGTTGTTGATTAAATTTTTTTATTGATCAATGTAAATCATTTAAAAGTTCCCATTTAGTATTAATTATTACAGATGATTGCAAAATTGTAAGACCACCTTATGATTTTCAATTTGAAAATATGATATTTTGAATTTTTTTAAGAATTAGTAAAAAAGCAAGTTTAAATACCTAAGTAATTTATTTATATTGAATCATATGATATATTTCTATTTTTATTTAAGGAGTTGAATAAACAGGTTTTTAACTTGATTTTTTACTGGTTTCTAAAAATTTCAAAATATCAAATTTTCAAATTAAAAAATCATAGGGTGGTCTTACAATTTTGCAATCAGTTATAATAAATTGATAAAATGATGAATATTTATTAAATTATATAAAAAACTCTTTCTCCTTTTCATTTTTACGAAAAATTCTGCAAAAATTTTTTTTTAAATTTTTTCACTTTATTTAAAATTTTTTACATAAAATAAAAATGTCAAACATAAGAGATTTAGTTAGAAATAAGAATTGTGCAGAAGACTTTTTAAAGTTCATCTCGTATAATGGATACCAATATTTACACGAAGTTACTGCAGAACTCAGTTTGTTTGTAGAAAATGGTTTCCTTAAAACTTTATTTGATAAGAGTCCACAGGCTATGGACAAAGCTCAGCTTCTAGTAGAGACGTTTGGCGAAAGTGCCAACCCAAATAACTTTTCTATACAGGCGCAGGTGACGAATATACAACCTACCACCCTTTCACTAATATTTTCTATAGCACTTTACGCTTCGTCCAAGTAGTGGGATAAATTTGCTACCTGCGCCTATACTCTATATGGTGATATGGGTGATGACACAGAATTGGAATATCTTTCCGCTGATGACGAATTGTTTACATCTACTAGCTCTTCAAATATGAAAACTACACCAAATCCAGTACTTGAAACGCCTCCAATACTGCCCGATGTGGAAATGACCCCTATCGATCAAACTGTGACACCCAAAACTTCCCGGAAGAAAGATAAATAAAAGGCGCGTGTTACAGATGATAAACAAGTCAAAAACCAATCAACAACAGCAAATCCTGGTGCACAAACATCAGCCAAAAAACCCTGTAAGGGGAAGAATTCATCCGTACCCGAGGCTACTCAAATACTGACAGGATACAAAGAAGCCGATGACCAGCGAGAGCAAGTCAGAGACATTATTGTATATGATATTCCATATACCTGGGACGTTGAGAAAATCTTAGGAGAATTAATGTTATGGGTCATACTATCAAGTTGTCAGTAAAACGGCAGCACAAATATCAGACTCTTAGAGTCAAAATAGTTTTGAACTCATTTACCCTTCTCCAATTTAACAAGTTTTGGATAACTGACCTGGAAGGTATACCAGTGAGATGGTTCCCTGCAAGTTGGACTTTACGAGAAAGAAAACAACGTGAAAAGTTCCAAGCTGTCATTCATGACATTCCGGAAGAAATGACAATGGCTACCTAGTGGAGTGACCGTAAACCACAATTATTTTTACAGATATGCAGTGCTAGCGCCTTTAAAATTATACAAACAAGCAAAGGAAAGAGGAAACTCGTAGGCTATTTCTGGACAAAGTTCAAATAGTAATCAGTCTAAAAAGAAGGATAAGAAGTCCTCGACCAAGACTGCTAAAGATGATAACTAGTTGAAGAACCTGAATTCTCAGAAGAAGGCAAAGAAATCCTCAAAGAGTAAGGGGCGTAATATAGTTAACAAAGAGATTTTAGCAGAAGTTTTGGACCTATTATATAAATTAAATTAGTTTAAATTCCTATCTAGTTATAGTTATTTTTCTAATTAGAATATAGCACATTTTTAGCAGCAGAATTTTTTTTACTTTTTATTCTACTCTATAAGCCCTTGGCTTTAGAGGGGGCTTGCCTCGGTTCTTCCTTATTTTTACCCAGTTCGTATGGGTTTGTCTAGGTGGCGAAGTTTCACCTAGGTCAAGCCTTTCTCTTTATCAAAGGGTGAGGTCTGGTGGTATGGGAATTTATTTTATTTTTATTTTATTTTTATTATAAAGACTGGTACTGGGGTCGCACCATAAATAGGAACAGATACAAACAAAGTAAGATCCTTATTCCAAACTAAGGATTAACCCAACCTCTCGAATGAATCGAAGGGGTAGCCCAGCCTTGCTCCACAAGGAACGCAGGCTTAGCCGCAGAACAAAAGACACTCAAACACTAATTTAGCGAGAGTTCCCAATCAAAAAAAAAAAATATTAATTCTGCCTATCTGCTATTCTGAAATAAAATCTATTATTCTTATAACTACTAAATCTTTAAGAAAAAAAGGAAAGACAAACCACCCAGTGTTAACCGAGGGCATACTTAGACTAATTTTCGCAGTAAGGATAAAATTTCTGCTAAAACCTCCGTGTTATCCTTATTACCTCCTTTATCCCTGGACTTCTTATTGGACTTCAACTTCTGGGATTTGGGATCCTTCAACGAGTCTTTAGTAGATTTGGCTTGCTTCTTAGCACTGGTCGAGGATTTCTNGACTTCTTATTGGACTTCGACTTCTGGGATTTGGGATCCTTCAACGAGTCTTTAGTAGATTTGGCTTGCTTCTTAGCACTGGTCGAGGATTTCTGGTCCTTCTTCTTAAGGTTAACATTACCAGACTGTTGCACAGATTTCCCAGGCTTCTTGTCAGGAACATTCTTTGCCTTTTGTTTGGTTAGTGCTTTCTTCAAGGTAGGTAAAGAGTGTCGACACTATCGCAACTCCTGGTGATTCTCCAGGTAAACTTGAGGAGTTCCTAAGGCCTTGAGTGTGGCCTCCCAATTCTCGAAATATCCTACAAGCTTTCTTTTACCTTTACTTGTTTGTATTATTTTAAATGCGCTAGCACCGCACGCTGTTAAACTGTTAAAATATAGAAGGTTTATGGTCATTCCACAAGGTAGCCATCATCATTTCTTCCGGAATATCATGAATAACAGCTTGGAACTTTTCACGTTGTTTTCTTTCTTGTAAAGTCCAACTTGCAGGGAACCATCTCACAGGTATACCTGCCAGGTCAATCATCCAGAACTTGTTAAATTGGGGAAGGGTAGTAAATGAGTTCAAAACTATTTTGACTTGAAGAGTTTGGTATTTATGTTGCCGTTTTAATGACAACTTCTCTCCTAAGATTTTCTCAACGTCCCAGATATACGGAATATCGTATACAATAATGTCTCTGACTTGCTCTTGCTCATCATTGCTTTCTTTGTATTTTGTCAGTATATGCGTGACCCCAGGTGCGGTGGTTTTTGCCCCCAAAAATAGGGGTTGTTAATCTGATGTTTGAGCATCAGGATTTGCCGTAAATGATTGGTGTATAACTTGTTTATCTCCTGCAACACGCGCCTTTGTTTATCTTTCTTTCGGGAAGTTTCAGGTGCCACAGTTTGATCAACAGGGGTCATTTCCACATCAGGCAGTATTGGGGTGTAACTAGGGATGCCAAAAGTTCGGTTATAACCGATTATAACCAGTTTTTATCAGTTTGGTTACGGTTTAGTTTTAGTCCAAGACCGACTGGTTAACCATCAGTTTTATGTATAAAAAAACTGACAAAAAAACTGATCAGTTAATCATATATTCCAAAAGAAAAGAATGTTTATTATATTGAGAATACTATTAAAAATTATGATTTTAGTGTTTATTTATATATATAGTATTCTTATTTTTGAAATAATAAGAAAATTTTTACGCGTCGATCATGTGATTTTTCATTCCGCTGAAAAAAATCGCAAAATTGACATTATTATCGTAAAAAAAATTATAATTTTAAGGAATATTATCAAATAAAATTATAATTAACACTTTCTAACATTGGTTCATTCAATTTTACAGTAATTTTGCGATCGGTTTTGCAATTCGATTTTATTGGTCAGTTTTGCGGTCAGCTGAAAACCACGGTTTTAAAACCAAAACTGAACCGAACTGACCGTTGGCATCCCTAGGTGTAACATGTACTGGTTTTGGTGTATCGTCATTAGCGGAGGGACATTCCGACTCTGAGTCACCCATATCACCAAATCTTGTATAGGCGCGGGTAGCAAAATAATCCCATGATCTGGACGAAGCATAAAGAGCTATAGAAAATATTAGTGAAAAGTTGGAAGGTTGTATATTTGTCGCCGCCACTTGTAGAGTAAAGTTGTTCGGGTTGGCTGACTCGCCAAACATATCTACTAAAAGCTGTACTTTATCCATCAGTTGTTGTGGATTTTTATCAAATAGTGTTTTTAGGAAGCCGTTTTCAACAAACTGTCCAAGCTGAAAAGTTGTATAAGATAAAAACAACTCTTCTTCTGCTGAAATAAACTTTAAAAAGTCTTCTTCAGATAGAGTTCCAACTGAGTCTCCCATGTTCGACATTTTTATTTTATGTAAAAAATTTTAAATAAAGTGAAAAAATTTAAATATAATTTTTGCAGAAATTTTCGTAAAAATGAAAAGGAGAAAGAGTTTCCCGGTATGGGAATTTAGTTTCCAGTGCTGGATGAATTTCCTATTCTAGACACGGTTTTTAGTTGGAATGTATTTCGATATATGATAGCTATTATTTGTACTAGATAGGATTTACTACTCTTGGTGGAATAAAATAAAATAAATAAAAGAAATAGTTTATATTGTTAAAAGATAATATTATAGTTCAGAGAGAGCGTAATAAGAAAGTAATATTAAGGAAAGAATTGCCGGGAAGTTAAAAAAAAAAAGAGAAATCAATATATAATATAAATGTTTTACAAGTTTTAAAATAAATAGTAATTTTTATATAAATTATAGGTGGGTAGCAGGTGGGTTGATGGGTTGGGTTGAAATTTTTTTAGACAGGTCCAATTTCTAATCAGTTAATGTCTTTAACAAGGAATTGAAATCATCTTGTTGACATGACATGAGAGTTGGGTAAAACAGGGGGAGAAGAAAGGACTTTCTTATAAAGTTGAAGAATATTTTGAAGTCGAATAAGATGGGTTTTACACTTGTGTCATGAGAAGCGGAGTAAGATAAGATTTCCAAATCCTTAGGAACTTTCAGAGTATAATTATTGCCAACAGTAATAAAAGGTGTAGCAATGGCGGCCTTGAGAATATGTAATTGAAGATATTCACACATCTGATTGATGTGCCATGAAAGGGAAGAACATCACATAGAGAATCCATTTTAGTGGCAATTAAGTCAAATTTGAAAACTCGATGGGTATGGCGCTTGAGCTGACGGGCATGGGTAAGTTTTGTAGAGGTGGTGAGCAATGACTTATCATAATGGAAATTGGATTGTAGTCAGAAATATGAGCAAGTCCTTTAAGGATAGGGCAAGACCATACATAATCGATATGAGTAATTTGGTCATCATGACGAAAAGTTCCTAAAGAGTCAGAAAGGTTTAACAGGAATATAATCTTTATAACCATGTGATAAAAGGTAGTTAAACAAACGATGAACACATTTGTGGTTGGTTGAAAAAAATAGGATAAAATTTATCAAGATGCATATTGAAGTTACTACAAATAACATGGTATAAACCAGCTTGTTTGGTAAGGATCAAAGTTTGTATAAGCATCAGAAGTAAGTGTAATTTCACATTGCCTTTAAAATAAAGGTCAATAGAAAGTAAACAAGAAGAGTGGGATTTAAAATTTTGTACATGTGGAGCATAAGAATTAGTAAACACCACCAGTAGAGTGGGTGTCTCAAGAAGCATCCAAATCAGAAAAAAAGATAGTATAATTAGAAACATGTAAATGTGTATTTAAGGGAAAAAAAGGAGATTTGTTCAATTTTATTTTGACTATACATTTTAAGGCCATTAACATTAAAAGAGGAGATATTGAATGAATTAGGAATAAGGGAGTTATTATTAGAAGAAGAAAATAAAGATTCTTGTAAAGAAAATTCATTAACATTAGTAGGGTTAGGGGGATTTCGCACAAAGGTATCATAATTAAAATTATTGTTCACCATTAAAGCACAATGATATAAGTGAACGGGGAAAAGAGGAAGAAAATGAAACTAATGGGAAGCTGAATTAGCTTTACCTGAAGAGACACCATTAAGGGAACCAAAAATTTTTGAATACTGCTTGAGTGATTATTAATAACAGCACTAAGTTCATCTTGCAAGAAGGAATAGGAGCAAATGAAGGAGCGGTTGGAAAAAGGGTTGAAACTGGAATAGTAGGCACAGAAGGAGTAACAGGCGGCCAAGAGATATTTAGTAGGGCAGGAAGAAGGAGCAGAGAATTGTACAGGTTGCATAGTGATTCAATATGCAATATCCAGTAATATACTTGCAAACATTAGCCATGGTTATTACTAGATTGAGCATGATCATTAGCAAGATTGTCAGATTTGTTAGCATTATGGTTGCCAGCATTAACATGGTGAGTAGTGGATCACAAGACTTGAATCTGAATCAAGAATACTGGCTAGCTCCTTGTCAAGGGTGGAAAGGTTGAATGACATTGAAATGCTCAAGTTTAGCTACAGGGACCCAAAGCTTGTTAGTATTTTCAGGCAAATTTCAGAAGAGAACTTTGCCCTGAAAACTGATAGTTTGTTCCATGGCAGAATCCATAGTTTCTTGCCACATCATATTACTTGGCAATTTTGTCGATTACTGCCAGTACTTGATGTTCCTATATTCTCCAAGAACACAAGTGCTGATGGAAATTCCAATAAAGGTATAGCTGCATATAAACATATAAGAGAAGTATTCAAGCTTGATGTAATTCTAAGGCAAACAGGTAATTCAAACGAACAAAAAGAATTCTGTGACATACTTCTAAGGATGCATGATGGGGAAAGCAGCCTTGACAATTGGAAGATACTCAGTACATAGTTTGAAGAGAATCTAAATCAGCAGGAACAGGAAAGATTTTCAGATGCCATATTCTTATTAACAATATGTAACAATGTTGAAAAAAATCAATATAAAGAAACTCAGATATTTAAAGTGACCTGTGGCCAAGATTATGGCAGTTCATACTGGCGGAAACAAAGCCAAAAAAGCCAGTTCAGATGTGGCAAAGGTATTTGAACCTCAGTTATTATTGGCAAAAGAAGCTCGTGTAATGCTCACAGCAAACCTGTGGATTAGTGAATGACATCCTGTTCAAAAATCAAGGTCCATGGTCCACCATTACTTCTAGCAGCAGTTTTTGTCAAATTAGGAAGGTAATAAGTCTGGGACAATATGTTCAAGACAACAAGTTCGTCTCTATCTAGTGTGGGCAATAACCATTTACAAAAGTCAAGGTCTGATGTTATCAAAGTCTAAAGCAGATATTGGAAGTAAAAAGTTTGCTGCAGAATTGACATTCATAGCAGTGTCACACATTTATTCTCTTAGCGACATTTATTTCAGACAATTTATGTTTGACAGACTTCAATGTAATAAAAATAGCAGCAGGTTACAGGAAAGGAAGACAGAGGAAGAAAGCTTACATCCAGGATAGCTTGATAAAGGATAAGTTGGGATATTTTATTATTTTTAATATTTATTAGTAAGACGTGGAATGTATTATTTATTTGCAAAATGCATACTTAATTATTTACTTTTTATTGTTTTGGATAAAAAAAAGATATATCAAAAAAAAATAAAATGGTTTTGTCATTATAAAGTTCAGTTTAAACAATGTTAATTTTTTTTTCGTAAATAGAAAATTGGATAAAAAAAATTAATTTTATGGTTTTCTGATTAATTAAAAAAAAATAAATAAATAAATGGTATAATGTAATTATAGCTGATTGCAAAATTGTAAGACCACCCTATGATTTTTTAATTTTTTAATTTGATATTTTGAATTTTTCAAAAATCAGTAAAAAAATCAAGTTAAAAACCTGTTTATTCAACTCCTTAAATAAAAATAGAAATATATCATATGGTTCAATATAAATAAATTACTTTAAAATCTTTATTAATTTTAAGGGATTAAAGTTATTACTAAAATAGGTATTTAAACTTGCTTTTGAAAAATTCAAAATATCAAATTTTCAAATTGAAAATCATAGAGTGGTCTTACAATTTTGCAATCAGCTGTAATCTACATTTGCTAAAAAGTTTTGTAAATTCTGTTGAATCATAATTTAATTCTTCCATTATCATATCAGATTGTTGAAAATCTTCTATTAAAGAGTAATCAGGTCTTGTAATAGAAAAATCATACAATGTTTTACCATAAGGAATAAGATATTTTTCAATATATATCTATTAATGTTTTTGTAATTACAATTCTAAAATCATTATTTGTTGTTGCATATAATCTTCATTTAAATTATCAAAATGATTCTTTAATAAAATAAAGGGATTTATTTCTTGAAGATTACAACAAGACATTTATCAAATTCATTATTCTCTTCATCTAATAATCCAAGGTGTCATACTGCTTCTTCAAAAGTATTATAAACAATTCCATTTATAGTATGAATAGCCTCATAAGATATTGCTCTATGAATTTGAGTTAATAAAAGTTTTAAATAATTTCGTTCCTTATCTTGTATATTGCACATATACATTCTTGAGATTACTTTTTCACCACCTTTTTTTCTTGATTGCCAACTTCCATTTTTCCAAACAAAATGTTTTGGAAAATCAATATAGCATAAACTTGTAATTGTCAAATCTTCTTGATTACTTGCACAGGTTTCAAAATAACAGGTTAATTTTGTGTGTGAAAATTGTTCTAATATTGTTGTTATATCTTGATTTTCCTGAAAAATTACAGATTGTTGTTTAGATAAATGAACTGGAAGTCTTCCAACTTTATGAGATCTTTCTTGTAATTTAAAATTAAATATTCGCCCAATATGCTTCAGCAGCAGAAACATATCTTGCATTAAAATATTTTGTAATTTCATATTTATAAAGATACTTTACTGATCGCATACTTAAACATATTTCCACATTAATATGACAATTATATTTTTGATATAAATATGGATTATAGGGAACAATCCATCTATTATCAATAGTTGTTCTTGTTTTTATAATTTTACGTTCATCATCTCTTATCTATATACTATATATTCAAATTTATTTGTTGCTGTTATTGAAACAAAATCTCTTGGATAATATTTACTGCATTTTCCATTTTCTATGCAAGGTAAATTAGGATTTAACCTTCCTCTGCTAACAGTTTCATATAATAATGGTTGTTGTTGTTCATCTGGAATTTCTGCACATACCAATTTATCAAAATCATCTGATATTCTTGGTTTATCTTTTGGTGCTAATATCATTAATATATGTGCATGTGGTAAACCTCATTTCTGAAATTCAATTACATGAATATGAGCAATAACTTTTCCTTAATACACCTTTTATAAAAAGATCATGAGTAATTGATTTTAATTTCAATTTAAAAACTCTTATAACTAAATCTGACCTGTCACTTGCTTGTTGATTTGGTAAAAGTTCATCTATAATTTGGGTTGCAAGTAACAGTAATAAATAGATCAGGTTTGCCAAATTCACTAACAATTGCCATGGAATCTTGATACAATTGTTGCATATCTGAAGTAAAATCTTGTAAACCTGAATATATTTCTTGTCTGAGATTTTGTTGATTGTTTCTATACCATCTTAAATTATTTGATTCCCATTTAGCATATTGATCTACCAAGTATTGTTGAAATAATTTTTCTGAATTCAATATGCTACAAATTCTCTAATTGTAATTCATTTTCATTTAACTTCTGCTTGTTCATCTCCAATTTCTTGTTCATCATCAGATTTAATTTCTTTCTCTTCTTCTTGCTTGTCATTAAATTCATTGGATTCAATTTTTATTGCTCTGCCTTTACCTTTATTTATTCTAGATATTTCAGATCCAATTAAAAGATCTATCATACCATCCATATTCTCCATATGAAAATAATAAAGGATATTGTAAAGGATCATAAGCACCATATAGTTCATTAATATGTTTTAACTTATCTTTATGTCATCTGATAACAATATCTCTTGGATTTGGTACTTGATTAAAATAATTAAAATCTAGAAAAATAACTGCAACTTCACTGGCTGTTGGTTTATTATATTGTCTCATATTTTTACCATGTATTTTATGAATAATTAATCTCATATCATCAATATTATTTATACTTTTAGCTTGTTATAAATTATGAACAAATGGATTTTTAATGTCACACAACTCAGTTTGTAATGCACTCAACATGTCAGAATTCAAATGTAGAAAATTTTCTTGTCTTCTTTTAAGTTGATTATCCATATTTGAATCATAAAAATAAATTTGAGCAAATGCTGGTGGATAATTTTCTTTAGGCATTAATCCACCAATTCTATGATATAGAGCACCCTGAATTCAGAAAGTATAAACATCTTCTTTGGCATTTACTAGATCTTCATCAATATTTACTCCCAATGTTGTAAATGCAAATATGCTATTGTATGCTCCAATATTATCCACATAAGGTTTCTGTATTTGGATCATTTGATGTAAGCAAATTATATAACATTGGTGGAGTTTCATGTAAAGGTGATAAAATAACTTGTCCATCTAAACAACAAAATCCTTTTGTTTCATCCTTCAAATCTATATCTACCATTTATTATTTCATCACCTTCCATCATATCTTCAATATAATTGTCTATATTATAACACCCAATTTTTAGACTGTTCTTGTTGTGCAGCATACCTAGTTTGATGTGCAAGTTTATCTTGTTCAAGAATATTTGTTTTTTGTTCATCTGTCATGGCAGTTCTTGATTTTTGTTTTCTTGTTCTAGCATTTGTAGTTGTTGTGGATTGAACCTTCTTATTGCTTGCTGTTTATTTTTTAACCTTTTTTTTCTGGCTTTTTCTGGCTTCATCAATTTCTTGTAATGATTTATATGTCATTTTAAAAGTTTTTTTGATTTAATATTTAGGAAAAAAATTATGCAAAATAAAAGTAAATTCCTCTATGCAGTGTTAGGCAATTGGACAATTTGGACAATTTTGAACAATTTTCTTATATCCAAACCCTTTAAAAATTAATCAAGAAAATAACATTATGTTCAGTCTAATTTGGTATGCCTTTTGACCAAAACCATAGGATTCAAGGTTTACAACTTTGAATGAAATGGCTGAACATCATAAATTGTCAACTTGAGATTTCTTCTGATAATATTATGGACTCACTCTTATTCATCCTCTTGTAGTTCAAACTCTTGTCAGTAGGTTTGATATATTAATATCAGTGAGTGGTTACTTTGCTCCTTTGATTCCTGGTTGTTTGTTTAAAAGTAGGTATTTTTTTGTGTGATTTAGATGTATACATCCGCTTCTAACACAGGTCAAAAAAGAATCTATCATACACATATCGGGTAATTATATATCGGTAACCAATTAGGTACATATCGGGTATATATACATATTAACAATATATCGGGTACCCGATTTGATTTTTAATGCAAAACTTCAAATATAGTTAAATTATCAGGTGTCCGATATCTAAACTATTAGTTACCAATATGTTATATAATATATATCAGGTATCCGATATATGTATCACTGATCAAAATCGATTCTATCAGGTACATATCGGGTACCTATATATCAGTGACTAATCAGTTATATATTGGGCATTTTTACATATCAGGTACCCGATTTATCACATTAAAAATACACCTAAAAATTAAGACCCTGATATCTAAACTATTAATCACCAATATATTTCTAATAGATATCGGGTACCGATATTTGTACGAAATTCTAATAATTTCATTTTTTTTTTGAGATAAATCTAAGGCTTATTGGTTAAAATCTAATTGACAGTCACCTGACTAATCATTAATAATCTTTAAGATCGTTTAAATATATATTTATTCTTTTTTTT